CTTGTATTTTAGTATATATGGAATTAAGCTTTTGTAATAAATCATATAGTAATCAAATTTTGTATAGGAATTAGTTTAGATAATCACAAAGCACCCTTGTATAATGTCAACTTAGGAAATTTAATTTTTAAAAAACGCTTTGTGATAATCAATTATTCAATTTTGGTAATAAATTTATCACATCGAGAAAATTTATTTAAAAAAGTTTATGTGATTATCAATTATCTCTTAAAATATTCGATTATTAGTGAGTTGTAACTTGACTCTTTAGTTTATTGACCTAAATTTTAAAAGAGTGAGTTTATATATTTTGGTTAAACCTAATTTTGGAAACAACCTTAGATTCAGAGGTTGTGATCGATAAAGAAACTCTGTGTTTGTGAAAAGAGGCTTTGTAATAAAACTTAGTGTGGGTAGAACAATAACTTTCACTAAGTGTGTTCTTGAATGATTGATTATTGTTGTTGTTACTAGGAAAAATTATTCATTGTATGACTTAAAGGAGGTGATTCATTCCTTATGGATTCTACGAATGTGTTTTTCATCTCTTGTGTTTTCAAGATAGGTGTTTTCCAGACTTTGAATTACTTCATTTGTGATTGTAAGTGCGAGTTTATTTTAGTGATTAGTTAATCCCTCGTTAGAGAGATTAATAACTGAACTATGGTCTTTTGATCTGAACTAGTATAAATTTTTTTGTGCAAATTTATATTTTCTTACCTTATTTATTTTTCTTTTTATTATCCTAAAGAAATCACTTTTATTATGAAGTTAGATTTTAAAAGGGTAAAGTTAAATATTCTCTTAGTTTTATTAAGAAACCAATTTATCAACCTCTCTTGGTTTTGTTCAAACACGATTATTCCATTGTGCCAACCAATTTTAAAAATATACATTTTCATCTTATAATAAACACTAAAAATTAAACACTTTTTCATTTTCTTAATAAGTTAAATATTCAAAATTAAGATAATTTCTAAATGTCATTAAAATAGTTCTTATCTTATCTATCTTTTTAACTCGTGAGGGCATTGCACCAATCTTGAATAGATAAGGATCATCCCATAAAATTTGATTAACGTCTGTAATCAATTTTTTTTCTAGTGTCACGTCAATTCCCTTGGAATGACTCTAACAACTTTATAATTTTCTATATCAACAAACCATGATCTTTCTCTTAGCATGAAAACATTTCATTAGGGAATTCTTCCCGAATTTATGACTCTTTACTAGTTATCTTATCATTTTTTAATTTGGACAAGTGATCAACCATATAATTTTCTTTGTCCTTTTTATCCTTGATCACCCAGTCAAATTCTTACAAAAGCAAGATCCATCTGATTAGCCTTAGTTTGAATCTGATTTCTTCATTAGGTAGTTGATAATTTCATGGTATCTGTGTAGATCACAATTTCACAACCATTATATAGGGTTTAAACTTCTTCAAACCATAAACATTTGCAAAAAGTTCTTTTTCAGTTGCGACATAGTTGATTTGATTGTCGTTGAGAACCTTGCTTACATTATGGATAGCATGAAATATGTTTTCCTTTCTCTGTCCTAGCATTGCTTCAATAACGAAGTCACTAGCATCACACTCATCTTGAAGTTAATATTCCAACCAGATGTAGTGATGATTGGAGTTGAGTTAAGCTTGTGCTTTAGTTTCTCGAAAGCTTTTATGCAGTCTTGATCAAACTTAAATTTAACATCCTTGATTAATAAGTTGCTCCAAGGCTTTGCAATCTTTAAAAAATCATGTATAAGCATTTAGAAAAGCCAACATGACCTAGAAAGCTTCTAACTCATTTGACATTAATAGGTGGAGATGTCTAGAAATAACTTCTATCTTGGTATTGGATTCACTTCAATTCCTTTCTCAGATGTTGTGTGGCTTAGGAAAGGACTTTCTAGAATAGTGAACCACATTTGTATATTTTTTAAATTATTAAAACTTCTAGAATCTCTCAATAATAAAGAATTAAACATATTATGCACACAAAATCAAACACATGACCACCCATCCATAATAAGGAGCTTTAATCAATTATGCTATCATTCACTTCTATAATAATTATCTTTTCTTATTTTATATAAAAACTCTCATGACTACCATATTTTCTAGATATCTAATTTTCTTGGATCTTATAAGATTCTTTAAGAAATAATGATATTATTATAATGGGAGATGGAAGTTTTGGTGTCTAACTCTCTAATTTCAAAAAGATAAATAGAAGATAAATCATAATAAGTTAGAATATAAGAATTAAAATATCATTCATTTTAATACCCAAAATATTAAAATAAAAAGAATTCATTCTAAAATAAAATATAATAAGTTAGAATATAAGAAAGAAAAAGAAGTAAAGAGAAAGATAAACTTTTAACCCATATAAAAAAACACAAATGAATAATTTATTTTTTCAAGTTTCATAATTGTAACATCCTATTTTAATAGTATAAAACTACTAAAATAAAATGGTACAAAGATGGTAATAAAACAACTAGGTAAAACAAAGCTACGATAAAGAAAAGATCTACACCTGTAGAACCATCTAACCACACATTTGCTTCACCCTCACCTCTCGCTAGAGCAACTAAAAAGACATTCTTATCTGCTCCTACCATTAAGGTGATCATCGCAAACAAGAAGATGATAAACAAACAAACAAACATAGAACCAAGGGTAAGCTAGTGATAGAAAAAATCCAACATGGTATATTAAGATATCATTATATATCACATTTCATACAAAGTTAATCAAACATCTTAATCATGCCATAAACCTAGACTTGACCATCCAGATATAGTATAAATGTTTAGCCATGGTGGATTCTGCACTTGTGTGGTGGAACAACTAACTCACTCAAAGCTACCACACAAGATAGCACGTTAAAACACCCTTTGCCAAAAAGAGAAAGGCCTTTAGGCTAGAACCTCCTCCTACTCTCACGGAAAGACCCACCTCTCTCTCTAATTGCACATGGATAATCATAAGAGCATCAGGATAACCTCCACATCATTCCTTACATTTATACCAACAACATTTGATACAAACACTAAGAATTCTCCTTAGAACTCTTACAACTCAATTTCATACCATCATGTATTCCCAACCATATCACTAAGTAATAGAAAAATCATCACACCATATATAAATCCAATCAATAAAAGAAATACAAAACAAAACAACCAAACAAACTCAACTTACTCGCTCAACGAACACAGACTACTTACCACGATAGCCAAGCCCCACTCGCCTAGTGAGAGCCAAAACAACAAGCTCCACAAGCCTAGCGAGCTAGCTCGCTTAGCCATTGAAACTCACTTTCAGAGATCTCATATACTTGCCCAACGAACCCCCTTTGCTCGCCTAGCCACTCTGCATAATTCTGTAGTATTTAAACTGCAGAATTTGCACCCCTAAACACCCCAAGACCTATCCTAAATACTTTTACCAACTTCTAACACTTATAGATTGAATACTAAACTAAACTTGATCTAACCAAAAGTATATAAACCGATCTAAAGTCGTTTTGAATTGTTTTACCACAAGATTCCAACTTAAAACAACTAAAACCTCACTTTATAGACTCTAAATCAATCCCACATATTTTAACTCGTAGATAAACAACTTAGGGACTCTAACAAGTTAGAAATGACTTAAAAATGTACTTCAAACCATTCATTTTGACACAGAACCTATATTTCAAAATCTCACTCTTTAAAACCCCTAAATCAAGCCTAAAAAAATTCTTAAAGCATCCTCTTGACTTATACCCACTTCTATCTCAACTTTCTATCAACTTAAGCTATCAACAAGTTCTAATTGAGTCTACAGATGTCTCATATTTCTGTTTATCCCTTTAGACCCTCTGTTCTAAAAATCACCTATCAAAACCTCACTTTTAGACCAAACTAGTTCATGTCTTAGCCCATATAATTTCTTTTCAACACATAAACCAATTCATCACCAACAATTTCACAATAACAACAGCATTCAAGTTAAATATCATATCTAATCAGAATCATTCAACCAAATGCAATTAATCAAACACACTTAGTACTAACATGCTCATTTCAAGCATACAATTCAACATACATTCAACTCTCATACTAATAACTATAATTTCATACTTTATAACTCAAAATAAAATAAAACATTAGGTTCCCTTACCTTTTAGAAGACCAATCGTTCTAAAGAACCTTATTCCGGTCACACAGTTCAAGAAGCTCTATTTGTACCTACAAACAACAGAAACACGATCAGAGTATACCATTAATACCATTGATCAACAGAGAGTCTTATAGAAGACTCGAACATTACATGAAAAATGAGCAGGGTCCCCTTACAATAGAAAAGAAAGGACAAGAGAGAAGGGGTTGAAACTTAACTTACTTAAATGGAAAAACTAATCGGTCTAAAATGAAGAGCTCGCTCTTAGAATCATTCATAACATTTCAGTTATTCAATCAGATGAGCAGAGAAGAAGAACTCCTAGAGAGAAGTCAGAGAACTTTAGAAAAGTGATTTTTAAAGAGATTATGTGTTAAAAAAAATAATGAAACTCGTTCGTAATGTCATTTGCTAGATTTTACAATAATCACAAACCCTAAACAATAATTAATATAAATAATATTTAAACATAAGTTCCTTTAAAAAATTTGACAATATTAGTTTAAATTTTTCACAATAAATCATGTGTCACTATTTTATTAGTTTGTTTAAATTTATTTTTAAAAAATATCTAAAAAATCAATCGCAAGCCACCACACATAATTATTAAAAAAAATTGTTAAAAAAACATTTTTCTTTACGTAAATTTATTATTATAAGATGCCTTCGTATTTAGTTCTGTGTATTACTTACCAGAATCTGCATTTCTCCTACGTCATCTTCAACTTTCTTTAAATTTGAGTCTATCTGTATCGTTTTCATCACAAACAAACAAGCAAGTCCATACAAAAGTACAAAAGTATATGAAAAGAGATTAATAACTAAAATCAAGTTTTTCTCAAATTGAAAAGACAATGCATACTAAATCATTATCACCAAGGATAATTAATCCCATTATATTTGATTCACTGAAGCATCTCAACGACTTGGCTCATGGTGGGCCTAGAATCTCTGTCTTCCATGACACAGTTCAAAGCCACTGTACACAGAATTTCCATCTTCCTGTGATCATAATCAGCTCCAATATCAGGTGCAATTATCTCCTCCACCCAATATGAGTTACTACTGTTTCCCTTTTTCTCTCTCACCCATTCCACCACCCTCCCATCATATCTTTCTTCATCATCATGGATACTTCTTGTTGTGCTTTTCCCAGTTACCATTTCCAAAACAACAATTCCATAGCTATAAACATCCACCTTCGATGTGATTGGCAAGTTAAAAACCCATTCAGGTGCTATATATCCTCTCGTCCCTCTGATCATAGAGATGCTTGAATTGCTGAGCTTATTACCTCTCTTCAGGAGCTTCGACAGGCCAAAATCTGCTACCTTGGGTTGATAATTAGCGTCAAGAAGTATGTTCTGTGGCTTTATATCACAGTGCAAAATCCACTCCAAGCATTCTTCATGAAGATATGCCAGAACTCTTGCAGTTCCAAGGGCAATGTTATATCTCTTACTCCAATCAAGAGTGTTGGATGACAGATTTTGTGCCAAAGAACCATTCTCCATATATTCATACACCAACAATCTATGCTTTCCCTCAGCACAATATCCCCACATTTGAATCAAGTTCATGTGGTTAAGCCTTCCAATGATGCTCACTTCAGCAAGGAATTCTCCTTCTCCTTGTTCAGCTTCATTCAGTCTCTTAATTGCTGCATGTCTTTCATCTGATAAAATACCTTTGTACACAACCCCTCCCGCACCCCTTCCGATCTCTTCACTGAACCCCTTTGTCGCCTTTTTCAACTCTGAATAACTATATTTTCTGAATCCTGTTTCTGCAAGATGGTAGCCCTCTCGATCAACGTTAGACTTTTGTCTGGTCCTAACTAGACACCAAATCAAAACAATGCAAATCACTTCAAAAGCTCCAAGGGCGGTGGAAAACCACAGGAAAATCTTCACAAAATGGTTTCCTTGTGATTTGATATAATCTCTTTGAAGTTGAACTGAACAAACATGATCATATAAAGGTTCGCTGGCATGTTCTTTGTGAGAGAAGCTATTACTTTTGGGAAATCTAAGGTATGTTGCTCCTTGGAATACCGGTGAACGTCTTCCATTGAGCAATTGCGTTTTCGTATAGCACCTATAAAATGGTTTATCATCACTATAGGAGTGCTGAAACCCCTTACAACTGCAGTCTTGCAAGCATAAATTCTCACAGGCACTATAGTTACTGACTTCTACATAATGATTATCATAGCCATAAAACTCAACATTTCGAATTTCCAAGAACATAGACTCATTCCTATGGCAAGTAAGCTGAAACAAGGGTTCACACCCTTCAGACCAATCACTGTGGTTCTTCAATCTATGCCCCGGAAGACACAAACATTTTCTTCCACTCTTAGGAACGTAAGTGCAGAAGCTGTTGGTTCCACAAATCCCATGAGATATGCAACCACTAGAAATTGCTTGCCATGAAACATACCACTTCTGCAAAACATTATTTCGACTGTACACTCGAACATTGCCATCACAATCCACTTTCAACCTTCTCTGCAGCACTGTTCCGTAATCAGATGTCACGAAAGTGAAATTATCTGTTGAACTGAAAAGTCCCAGAGAATTCAACACGCCAATTCTAGTACTGTTGAAATTAGTCCTTCCAGCATCCCAACTTATCAACCAAGGTTGTGGCCAGTAGGAGCTTGAAACATCAGGACCATCGTAATGAAGACCAAGAACGTTGTCATCATCGAAGAAAAACTTATAGAAACCTGAGGAATGGTTACTCTCGCTTCTTGAAGACACAAGTTGCGTATATCTTGTTAGAGGCTGACCAGGAACGAGAGTGTCGGTTGGAAAATCGAAACTTTGCCACAGTACGGTTCCTTGAAGATGGCGTAACACTAGATTGCCATCATCTTTGAGATGCAACTCCACTGGGGCTGATGAAGCAGTGTTTGAAGACCAAGCAATGTTAAGAGCAGCATCAATCAAGACCATGTTGCCATCGTTTGTGAGGGAAAGTTTGGAGCTTTTTCCATTGACAGGTTGGTCACGGTTTGCCATCCATGTGACAGAAGTTGGGCTGTGAAAATGAGGCTCCGTGAACCATATTGCAAATGAATATGCGTTGTCACCAATGGCTAAAAAGCCAGCAGAAAAGATGGCGTTTGGTGAGATGAGAATATGGTGTGGATTTTCCACAGAGAGGGAAGAGCCCATTGTCAGGGATGATGAAGAAGATGATGAAAGTTGGAAATACAATAATGGTAGAAGAAAGAGTGTGATTGACATAGGCATACTCATATTCAATGGAAGATCTCGTGTGTTCTTGTTGAAATCCAGTAATTTGTGTTTGTACTCATGAACTGTGTATTGATATTGTAATATATTTTTGCGGTTGGTTACCATGATGCCAAAAGAACCTAATAGTCTATTACTCCATCCATCTCACAAAGGAAAAGATAACTAGTTTAAGTTATTAAAATAATATTAATTTATTAGTTAATTTGTAATTAAGTATTTAATTATTGTTTGTCTTTATTTAATTTTATTTGATATTTTCATTTTAATAATTATAATTTTTTTAATATGTAATATTAGAATATTAAATATTTAATAATATTGTATTTTCTTTTGTATTTTTATTTTTGTAAATAAATTATATAATCATAATTTTAAATAATAATAATGAAATTAGATTTAGATATCTTAAAAGGAACGCATGGATAAAAAAAGGAAAAAATATAATTAAAGTGGTCAATTATGTCTTTTTAATGTAATTAACCATATTGACATGATAAAGTGAAATGAAAACTCTTGGAATGGAGAAAACAAAAATAACTATAAATCATATTTAAGAATAAATAGTTGAATTATTCAAATCGGTGAGACTCAATTTCTAAAAATAATAAAAAAATTTATTTATTTTTTATATAGAAACTTCTAATATCATGTTTATATTTCGAGGAATTATTTTGCTAAGAGATATAATATTTAAGAATCAGTTTAATATTAAAACATTTTCCTAATCAGTTTCATTTTAAATTTATAGTTGAGAGAATTTATCGTTATATTATACAAAAATATTAATGTTAGAACTTTCCATACATTCATACACTACATTAATAATTTTCTCATTTCAAGTAATATATTAATAGGTTCATATTCTCACCCAGAATTTCAAATAGGTTTCTTTCTTTTTCAGCATCTCAATTGAGTCCTTATTTTTGTAAAATTGAATCAAATAGGACATTTTCGTCAAACTGAAATGACGCTATTAAGAAGGGTATGCTGGCAGTGTAGTTTTTTATTACGTGGCATTAAAAACGTGATTGAATTATATTTTATTAATTTTTGAATTAAAAAATAAAGCATACAGAGTGGAAACTGATGTTTAAGTAAGGGCAAAGTTGGAAATTAAACCTAAAATTAAGTGTTGAAAGCCTCATTCTCATTTACATTGTGAAATTCAACAGTCCAACAACACATCCCGTGAACATAAAATTAAAAAAGAAAAAACATTTTATGGAGAAAAAACATTTCAGCCAATAACATGCTACCACATCACCACTTTGACACATCATCATCTTCTCTAACAATCTGAAACCCTAATTCCCAAACCAAACCCTAGGGCGCCGTTAGCCACCGCCGCACCACCAGCAACCACCTTGTTGCCGCACCATCACATCAGGCCAACACCCATCTTCCACGCGCAAGCATCTTGATCGTCTTCATCACGCCATCAACGGCGGTGTTTCCATTCGAAGCCACTAGGCACACGCCGCCGCAAGGCCACCAACTATCAAAGCATCTTCTCCCTCAAGCGTCAGCTATGCCGCGCCACAACCATCAATCCCATGTGCCGCCGCGAAAGACCACTGTCACACCGCCACCTTCTCCTTCGTCCTCACCATCTTCCTCGCGTCGCTACAGTTCGCACCATCACGAAGCCTCACGCTGCGATTAATGTCGTCATCGGATATCGCGTTTCTTCCACAGAACAATCCCAAATCGTCGTTGAACCTCCACTGCAAGTCTCTTCGCCAAAGTGTCGCTGCCTTCGTTCTCATCCAAACTCCATGGACGCCGCACCTCCGTCATCAATCTCGCACAACCATGGAAGCTTGCTCCTTCGCACTGCAAACAGAGAACCCAGAATCGCACTACCCAGAATCGCACTACCCAGAAAAATCCCTAAATCGGGCTACAACAGAAAAATCTTTGCCATCCCTGCCAGCCCACACCACGAACAAAAATTTTTTTGTTTTCTCCCATGAACCGTAAAGCTCAACTTTCCCGAGTTTCATTTAGATTTGGATTTCAATTGCAGAGAAGATCTAACATTTAATTTTAGGTTTAATTTCTAACTTTGCCCTTACTTAAACATCAGTTTCCACTCTATTTGCTTTATTTTTTAATTCAAAAATTAAAAAAATATAATTCAATCACGTTTTTAATGCCACGTAATAAAAAACTACAACTGCCAGCATACCTTTCTTAACGGCGTCATTTCAATTTGACGGGAAAATCCTATTTGATTCAATTTTACAAAAATAAGGACTCAATTGAGATGCCGAAAAAGAAAGAGACTTATTTAAAATTCTGGATGAAAATAGGGACTTAACACATTAAACCTATATTAAATTATGAAATTGCATACTTACAAGCACCATTGTGGATTTTATGTTTGTTTATTAAGACATTTCTTTATGCAAGTGAGATGAGTAAATATTGATCATTTCTTTTATACAACATTGTTTTTCTTAAAGCATAAAATACACCAGTGATTAAATTAAAAGGAAGCATTAATATCTTAAATTATAAATAGAGTAGTTAACAGTTAGGCTCATTTAATTTCGAACAACAATTTATCACCCTATTAAATTTTCATACGTAATCAACTATGTCATGATTCACAGAATGAAATCAATTCGTATACATGCAAGAATAAATATTACTTTCATATCTGACATTGTCGGCTAAACTTTGTCGCTGTATTCTTTTTAATAATTTTTGTTTTCGTATTTTTGAAATTCTCAGAATAGATGTTCCATTTAGCTTTAATAATTAAATAATATTTTTATGCACCATTGTAAGTTTAAAGGAATAAAATTATTTCTTATCAAAGTGTTAATTACTAAAACATAAAAGATAAAAAAAATATTTTAATCATTATTTACTTTGAATTTTTATAATATTTTTGTTTCATAATATATTCTAAAATTTTACTCTCTTGAGTTCCTTTTTACCGTATTTGTTTTTTCACAACATTGTGAGTAAAATGAAAAATATTTTACAAAAATTAAAATTAAATTTTATAAAATTGGATATTAAAGTGAATGACAAAATACTACGTATAAAGCATACATTTCACAAATGTAATATCATTCAAAGTGTAAGTGTCAGAGCGGCGACAGCGGAATGATTAGCAAGAAATAACAAATCAAGAGACTTTTTAATACGAACGTGTGTCTTTTAATTTCTACTCAATTAAACTTACCAAACAAATAATAAAGACAAATAAAGATGGTAAGATTGAGAGAAATTTGCATAAATGATTTTATTCTGGTTCGGATCTTACCAATCCTACATCCAGTCGCTTATGTCAAAACAAGATAAACAGTTCACTACTACAAAACAATTACAAATTACAATCACAAAGAAACAATTTGTAAAATTTTAGAAACCATCTCTCTTGTTATCCCAAGAGATGAAAGTCACTTCCCCTATAACTCACAAGGGATGAACACCTCTGAATCTTCACAAAGGATGAACACCTCCTCCGAATGCCTTCACGAAGGATGATAGGCTTTTAACTCAGCAACAACAACAACACTCAATCACACTCCTTGTGAAAGTTCTCGCTCTATGCCAACGCCAAGTTCTCAAAGTCATAGCACAAGGGTTCAACAAACCCTAGAACACTCATCACCGCACACTGTAGATAAGATTTTCTGAAACGAATGAAAGTCCCAATCTGATTTATAGAGATATCAGTCAAAGATACCTCCAAAAATCTGTTGTCAACTAATTAACGTGTGATAATCAATTATCCAATTATGGTAATTAATTTATGCATTTAATGAATGCACAACTTGCTTAAAAATTCTCATAATTGCTCGTTATAATCAATTATCGCAAGTCATAGTCGATTATTATAAATTGATAATCAATTATCTTGAGTATAAAATGAGGTTTTCTGATTCAAAATAAATTTTAACGCAACCTAAGACAAACAATACATAGAATCAAATATAAACCACATCCTATACATAAATCTACTAAACTATAAAAGCTTTAATATAAAAACAAGTGTTCATGAAGATCATCAAGATTTCTGCTCTTTAGCTTTATGCTAACAATCTCTCCCTTTTTGATGATGATAAAAAATATTTTAATTTAAAGCTTTTTGTAACCTGCACTGATCTGTAACTCATACATAACTTAAAGAAGAGGGATTAGTAGACAAAAGATAAATATAACTAAGCCTTTAAACATATTTCTCCCCCTTTTTTATCATTATTAAAAAGACGTTATGTATGATAAAAAAAATTTCTCCCCCTAAATATAAGAACTCCCCTTAAATATAAATCATATAACAATTATCATAATTTTTATTAAAGGGAAACAGGAGGCACAATTCAAAACATAGAAAATAAAATAAATTTAGAAATTATAATAAATAAATAAAAACAAGATAAAGAAATACTCCTCTGAATTGCATTTGATTCTTTAAGGAAGAAAGAGAAGTAGTTAAAAATAAATTATCAAAATTTTCTTTTCAAATTAAAAACTCCCCTTTAATTTGACAAACCATACTTTACTAAGTTTTGGTGCACACCCAAAAACTTTTTCCTTAATTTTGAAATAACCTGCAAAAAGAAAAAAATAATATTTTGGTACCTAAAAATACTTATTTGGGTACTTTAAAGTTAGAGATAAATTATTTTATAATTGGAATTCATGCATATATTCCATTTGGAACACCATAATGTTTTATTCTATATTTATTTGATGTATGACCATTTTTCATGCAATAAAAACAAGTAACATCATTTGGGTTCCTATAACTTCTATTTTTATAATTATAATCATAATAATTTTGATAATATTTTGGAACATACTTGATTTTATTTTTATAATTATAATCATTATAATTATATTTAGGAACATTTTCAATTTTATTACCATAATCATAATCGTAGTAATTATAATTATATTTAGAAACATTTTTATCAACCGTTTTAACATTTGAATTATTTTTACTACTTTCAGCATGAGTTGTTTCTTGTAATTTATTCATATTACATTCATCGTTACTAGTAAATTTACCATTTTCACAAAATAAAATTTTATTTTTCAAATTTTTATTCTCTTCAAGAATATTTTC